CCGAATGGTTCATGAAATATCGCCGTTTTTGTGGTGAAATTGGTCCAATGGGAATGAATGGCGCAATGTTCAAAACTAGAGTGGGAGCTGACAAAAGCTAGATGAGAAATCAGGACATGATTTCTAAACTGCCATCACTCCCTCATTTTCAAGCCCACCTACACAAATCTTATATCAAAATGTTCAGCTATCCCTGCTGCCACTAAAAATGTCCACGGCTAAGCCATAGTCCTGATAGTTTTCATAATATGATCATTTATTTGCAACTCACGCCACCCATTGACATTCATTGAAACTCCACTCTAGCCACCTCAAATTTAAAGGGCAATTTCTAAACTGCGACTGTGCCTTCATTTTTAATATTTCAGAGACATACTATGCATCAAAATGTAGGCCTGGGTCTTGTGATTCTCACAATATAAAGCTCTTCACTGTAGGATATAGTTGTAAAACTACAAGTGTTTGAAGATGGCAACCGCCAGTGAAGTGAGCAACTTGGAGCAGTTTGTTTTTAACCTCTCCTCTGCCCTTGCTGTAGAGTGAGTTGCCATAGGAACCCAGGTGTTTGAGCAGGCAGCAGAGTGACAAAAGCTACTCCGCCCACTCCATTTGCACACTACTGGTGCAGGCAAGAACACTTCACACAATTTCCCCAGAAATTGTAGATTTTCTAGTTATTATTATTATCATTATAATACAGGATTCAAATAACGTCAAGAGTTTGTGCAGCGTTTTACAAAATGAAGGTAGACATTACAGTTACAACACAATTTGGTACAAGAGGAAACAGAGGGCCCTGCTCGTCAGAGCTTACAATCTTTAAAACAAAGCCCTCCAGCGGCATGCTGTCACTGCTGACAGGGCTTCCATCTTCATTTAGTCTCACTTCCAGGTTCTTGGACTCTGGAAGTTTGAATGGCCAGGCCACGATGATGTCACTCCTGCACATGCACACCGGAATCATGGCTGTGGTACAATGCTATGAATTAATGGCATACTCGATGTGCTGTCAGTTCAGAATGCAGTGCTGCTCATGCATCGGTGATGTCACTGGCTGCTTCCAATGTGAATATCTCCTAATACAGTGAATGCCTGCATGTTTAAGATACATTCACTGTACCTACGGGTAAGCCTTACTATAAGCTTACCTTTTCATTGGGGTGCAACCTATATGCTAGAGATGGTTTGCACGTAAATGGAAGGGGGCATGCTGTGCTAGGGGAGAGGTTTATGGGAAGGCTGGAGGAGTATTTAACCACCTCCCACCCGCCATATAGTCCAATGATGGGCGCATGGTGGTTCTCTCGTTCTGGGAGGATGTCATATGACGTCCTCCCATTCTCAAAAAACCACAATTATAGTGAAAAGATCAAAACCCAAAGAGATTACCCAAAAAATAAAAAAATATCAAATATATATAAAAGAACAAAAATAAATAAAGTCCCAATATGCAAAGTGTCCAAATAATGTGTCCAAACAAAGATCAATTTCTTGATAGGAAGACACTTCCTACTCCACTGAAGAAGATGCAAATCAATCACAGGTGCTCTTCAAATACCTCAAAAAACAAAAAATCTCAACATAGTATATTACCTTTTAAATCCCAGAACTAACGTGCCACACGTGTATCATGCAAAAAAAACACTCCAGTGTCACAGCACTCATGTGAGAGAGAAAAAAAAAAATTAAATTTTAAATATCACTGCAAACTATATATAAAGTGCATAATTACCCTAAAACAAACAAATTCCAGTTTGTAATCAACCACATATGTACAGAGTGTCCTTAGATTGGTATCCTCTTGTTCCTCAGGACCTCACAAACAGACCAGGAATCAGTATGTGAATTATAATCATATATAAAATTTATTGTAGCCACTTACATATATAAAAACGATAAGATCAGCAAGACAGCATCCAACTCCTCATGCCCAGTATGCGATCCTCTTTCCGTGTGTAGAGGGTCTCCCGATCACCAGGTAATTCCCCCTTGCTACTCCTATCCAGCACTATCACTTTGTAGCTCTGGGGGACACCTGAAGTGCACCATTACTCTCCAGACCTCCAGCACACAGGGATTCCAGAATCCAAAATGGCTGCCGCAGCACTTCCGGGAACGTCACGTGCGCTGGACGCGTTTCGTCTCTTCTGGACTTTGTCAACAAGGATACGGACATAAGGTTCCAGTTCTTTAAGTACCCACTCCTAACCTGGTGGAAATACCTCAGCAGCCATCTTACAAAGTGGAAAATTGAGATGAATGACTACCACAGCTGATATACCATGCTAGATAGTCATCCCCACCCCATAGCTCTCATCCCTAAGTTAACCTCAAGCCATACTTCAGTCCCAAGGATAATTAAACCACCTGCAGCCATTTTGGAAACTGAAAGAACAATTTTAAATAACCATAAGGTCGGGGGTAACACCACCCCTTCACCATTGATTACAAAAATCTACAAATAATAAAATCATTCACAAAAATTATAAAATATTAAAGAATATAAGAAGTACATGCTAAAAAATCTAAATTAAAATAAAAATAAAATAAAATGAAAATTAAAAAAAAAAAAAAAAAAAAAAGAAAAAAATTATTAAAAAAAAAAAAAAAAATTAAATTAAAATTACAAATCAGAAATAAAACAATTTAAATCCAAATCAATATTAAGACCCCTAGGTTTCAAGGTATTAAGTTTAAAGATCCAAAAAGTTTCATTACGGGATATTTCCTGTACTTTATTACATCCCCTCCAATGAGTATCAAGAATATCAATACCACAAAAACTCAGAACACTAGGATCCGAATTGTGAAAATCACGGAAATGCTTTGAAACACTATGTTCCTTCCTTCCTTTTTTTATGTTCCCCACATGTTCTTTAAGTCGAATTTTAAGATCTCTTTTCGTTCTACCCACGTATTGGATTTTACAGGGACATTCCAACAAGTAGGTGACATACTTCATATTGCATGTTATAAACTTCTTGATCATAAACTCCTCCCCCGTAACTGTAGATTTAAACGTGGAGATCTTTTTCACTTTAATACCAGTCGTTTTACATATCCTACACTTCCTACATGGGAAGAAACCTGTTAATCTAAACATCCGTGATTTTCTAGGGGGGGAGATAATCCCTTTTACTAATAGGCCCCTCAAGTTATCACTTTTCCTATATATAAACGAAGGTTTCTCAGGTAGCGTCTTGGCTAGAATATCATCTTTGTGTAACATCGGCCAATATTTTCCAATGACATTCTCCACTTCCCTATACTGGCAACTAAATTTGGAGATAAAAGCATATTCCATTGAACTTTTCCCCTCCCTCCTTTTTTTCTTAATATTTCTCTTCTCCTTCCCATCTCCTAAATACTTTCTACTTACTGCATATCTCATCTTCTCTAGAGAATCCTGATCATACCCTTTAGCAACAAAATGTTCCTTAATATATTCTGACTGTACAATATAGTCTTCCAATCTTGTGCAGTTTCTCATAATACGAATAAATTGGCCCTTAGGAATCCCTTGAATCCACAAAGGATGGTGACAACTACTAGTCGATATAAATCCATTCTTGTCGGTATCCTTAAAGAACGTTTTGAAGCACAATCTATTCTCATACTTGAAAACATGTAAATCCAAAAAATTGGCCCATTCCGTACTACTACTAGTGGTGAAACTCAATCCCAATTTGTTATTATAAATATTTTCCAAAAAGATCTCAAAGTCAGATTTATCTCCTTCCCACACTATCAAGATGTCATCAATATAGCGCCTCCAGACTTTGAGACCCATCCAATTTTTGCCAAAAATCTCAGACTCCTCCCACTTGGCCAAAAAACGGAACCTTATGTCCGTATCCTTGTTGACAAAGTCCAGAAGAGACGAAACGCGTCCAGGGCACGTGACGTTCCCGAAGTGCTGCGGCAGCCATTTTGGATTCTGGAATCCCTGTGTGCTGGAGGTCTGGAGAGTAACGGTGCACTTCAGGTGTCCCCAGAGCTACAAAGTGATAGTGCTGGATAGGAGTAGCAAGGGGGAATTACCTGGTGATCGGGAGACCCTCTACACACGGAAAGGGGATCGCATACTGGGCATGAGGAGTTGGATGCTGTCTTGCTGATCTTATCGTTTTTATATGTAAGTGGCTACAATAAATTTTATATATGATTATAATTCACATACTGATTCCTGGTCTGTTTGTGAGGTCCTGAGGAACAAGAGGATACCAATCTAAGGACACTCTGTACATATGTGGTTGATTACGAACTGGAATTTGTTTGTTTTAGGGTAATTATGCACTTTATATATAGTTTGCAGTGATATTTAAAATGTAATTTTTTTTTTTTTTTTTCTCTCACATGAGTGCTGTGACACTGGAGTGTTTTTTTTTGCATGATACACGTGTGGCACGTTAGTTCTGGGATTTAAAAGGTAATATACTATGTTGAGATTTTGTTTTTTGAGGTATTTGAAGAGCACCTGTGATTGATTTGCATCTTCTTCAGTGGAGTAGGAAGCGTCTTCCTATCAAAAAATTGATCTTTGTTTGGACACATTATTTGGACACTTTGCATATTGGGACTTTATTTATTTTTGTTCTTTTATATATATTTGATATTTTTTATTTTTTGGGTAATCTCTTTGGGTTTTGATCTTTTTACTATAATTGTGGGTTTTTGGGTTTAAGTCAATGAATATATATTTTATTAGTACTTCAGGGGAAGGATATTGATATGACTTTAAGGGATTCTTGAGGATTTTATATATATATGTGTGCTGATTTATATTTATTCTGTCCTCCCATTCTCACCGCGCATGCGCGACTCAGGGAGTGCGCTGCGTGGCGATCGGCGGTGCACTGTGTCTCTCGGACACAGCGGATCACCGATCTACGGAAACAGCCGAAGATGTTGGCTCGGTCATGTGATCAGCTGTGTCCAATCACAGCTGATCGCATGTAAACAGGGAAATGCCGGTTATCGGCATTTCTCTCCTCTCGAGCTGTCACACTGACAGCTCAAGAGGAGAGCCTGGTAATTGGCATTTCCGCGGAGGGGACATGCACACTGATCATCAGGGCCCCAGAAGTGCCACCTGTCAGTGTCCATCAGTGCCAGCTGTCAGTGCTGAACAGTGCCCCGTGCCAGTGCCCATCAGTGCCACATCAATGCCACATATCAGTGCCTACCAGTGCACATCAATGCCACATATCAGTGCCCATCTGAGCTGCCTTTCAGTGTCACCCATCAGTGCCAGTCAGTGCCACCTATCACTGCCAATCAATGCCACCTATCAGTGTGCATCAGTGTCACCTATCAGTGTGCATCAGTGCCACCTATTAGTGCCAGTCAGTGTCGCCTAGCAGTGCCAGTCAGTGGCACCTATCAGTGCCATATATCAGTGCTGCCTTTCAGTGCCCATCAGTGCCACCTACCAGTGCCTCCTCATCAGTGCCCATCAGTGCCACCTATCAGTGTCCATCAGTGCAGCCTATCAGTGCCCATCACTGCAGCCTCATTAGCGCACATTAGTGAAGAAAAATCACCTATTTACAAAATTTTATAACAAAAACTAAGAAAAACTTTTTTTTCAAAATTTTCAGTGGTTTTTGGTTTGTTTAAGAAAAAATAAAAAAACCCAGAGGTGATTACCACCAAAATAAAGCTCTGTTTGTCACAAAAAAATTATTAAAAATTCATATGGGTACAGTGTTGCATGACCGCACAATTGTTATTCAAAGTGTGACAGCGCTGAAAGCTGGAAATGGCCTGGGCAGGAAGGGGGCATAAGTGCCCTGTAGGCAAGCGGTTAAACTAGGATCGATGAGGGAGGGATAATTAGATTATAACGGGGTTGACAGATCAGACAGGGGTCAGTCCTTATTGGTGGGTGGAATAGGGAAAGATGGGGGGAAGGCTATGACAGATGATAGGAAGGTTCCCATGTTACAAACAACCAGTGGAATTGGTACCATTTGTAGGAAAGTAAAAAATATGCAAAATATGTGTGAACAAGGTGTCAACGAATTAAAGTGTTTGTTCACCAATGCCAGAAGTCTGCCAAGCAAAATAGGTGAGTTGCAAGCTTTGGTGCATGAAGAGAACTATGATTTAATTGGTATTGCTGAATCTTGGCTTCATTCTTCACATGACTGGGTCATTAATATTCCTGGCTATGTTTTCTTTCAGGAGAGACAGGGTAAATAGGAAACGTGATGGTGTCTGTCTCTATGTGAGAAGTGATCTCAGAGTGAGTGTGAAAGAGGACCTAGTTGATGGAGAGTGTGATGAGGCTGAAGTATTATGGGTGGAACTGCACATGGGGGTGCATACTACAAAGGTAATCATTGGAGTTTGTTATAGGCCTCCCAGTGTTAATGAGGAGGTGGAGACTCAGCTCCATGCACAGATCAAAAGGGCTGTAAGGTCTGGGGCAATGATAATAATGGGGGATTTTAACTACCCAGAAATTGGGGAATTGTACTGCAGGAACAGTTAAAGGGCAAACATTTTTAGACCTACTACAGGACAGTTTTATGGTACCGTTCATAGAAGCCCCTACAAGGAATGATGCTCTGCTTGACCTGGTAATCTCAAACCATGCAGAGCTTATTACGAATGATCATATAAAAGAATATCTGGGTAGCAGTGACCATAACATGATTTCATTTATTGTTAGTTGTAAACAGTAAGCACATATGGGAAAAATAAAACCGCTCAAATTTAAGAGAGCTAATTTTCCAAGGCTGAGAGCTGCTCTCCAAGACTTAGACTGGGAGGGAAAATTGGCATCGATGAACACAACACAGAAATGGGAGTTCTTCAAAAAGACTGTATGTGAACACACAGCAAAATATATTCCCATGGGCAAATAGTTTAAAAGGCTAAAAATCAAACCTATGTGGCTTACGGCCAAAGTTAAAAAATCTATAGATAATAAGAAAAGAGCTTTTATTACATATAAAAATGAAAGAATGCTATCATCGTTTAAACATTACAGAGAATATAACAGAATATGCAAAAAGGAAATAAATTGAAAATGAACGACAGATTGCAAAAGATAGCAGGACCAACCCCAAAAAATTCTTCAAATATATTAATAGTAAAAAAAGGTCCAGTCCGAGTATGTAGGCCCTTTACAAAATAATCTAGAGTGGGTGACTGGGGACAAAGAGAAGGCAAACTTATAAAATACCTTTTTTTTAGCTCTGTGTATACATAGGAGCATGGGGGAGCGCTTGTCCATAATGGGCATGGTATTTTCACAGCTCCAGATGATCCACATTGGCTCACAATTGATATGATCCAAAAATATTTAGACAGTATAAAAGGTGAATAAAGCACATGGACTGGATGGCATACACCCACGGGTCCTTAAAAAATTGAGCTCTGTCATTTCACAGCCATTGTTTCTAATTTTTAGGGACTCTTTAATGACAGTCATAGTACCTTGCTGGAAAAAAAATTTTAAGCAACAGACAGCATGGATTCCTGAAAGACAGAAGTTGTAAAAAGCAAATCTGATTTCTTTTTATGAGGGGGTGAGCAAAACCTTGGACAGAGGGGTGACGGTGGACGTGGTATACTTGGATTTTGCAAAAGCATTTGACACAGTTCCCCACACACGGCTAATGTGTAAGGTAAAATCTATGGGCTTGGAAAAATCTGTATGTAAATGGATAGAAAACTGGCTAAAAGATCGTATTCAGAGAGTAGTAGTTAATGATTCATACTCTGAATGGTCTAGGGTTGTCAGTAGTGTACCCTTAGGTTCAGTGAGGGGACCCTTATTTTTTTAATATATTCATAAATGATATAGGGTCTAGGGTTAAAAAATCCTATTTCAGTCTTTGCAGATGACAATAAGCTGTGCAGTGGAATAACATTCTTACAGGATGTCTCCAACTTACAAGCCAACCTCAATGCACTGTTTAATTGGGCAACTATGTGGCAAATGAGGTTTAATGTTGATAAATGTAAGATTATGCACTTGGGGGCAAAGAATATGCATGCATCAAACATACTAGGGGGAGTACAACTGGGGGAATCAATGGTGGAGAAGAAACTGGGAGTTCTGGTAGATCACAAGCTTAATAATGGCATGCAATGCCAAGCTGCGGTTTCTAAAAAATCCTCTCTTGTATTAAAAGAGATATAGACTCCAGAGAGAGATATCATATTAACATGTATAAATCATTAGTAAGACCTCATCTGGAATATGCAGTTCAGTTTTGGGCACCAATTCACAAAAAGAACATTGAGGAACTGGAGAAAGTACAGGGATGGGCAACCAAACTGATAAGAGGCATGAAGGAGCTCAGTTATGAGGAAAGATTAGAGGAACTGAATTTGTTCTCTCTTGAGAAGAGGCGATTAAGGGGGGTATGATCGACATGTATAAATACATCAGTGGTTCATATAGTGAACTTGGTGTAGAGCTATTCACCCTGAGGTCATCACAGAGGACAAGGGGGCACTCTTTACATCTGGAGGAAAAGAAATGTAATATCCAAACACAGAAAGGTTTCTTTACAGTGAGAGCTGTGAAAATGTGGAATAGACTCCCTCAAGAGTTGGTTCTGGCCAGCTCAGTGGATTGCTTTAAAAAAGGCCTGGATTCTTTCCTAGATAACTGGATACTAACATTTATAGGTAAAGTAGAATCAGGGAATATCTGATTACCTCTCAGGGGATCAGGAAATATTTTTTTTCCCTGTAGGAGCAAATTGGATCATGCTTTGGAGGTTTTTTTTGTGCCCTCCTCTGGATCAACTGTGGGTATAGGATTATAACTATTTTTTTTTTAATGGTTGAACTGGATGGACTTTTGTCTTTTTTCAGCCAGACTAACTATGTAACTATAAGCTTACCTGTGGGTACAAGTTAAAAAGCTTGTGAGATCTTGTGCGGATGCCTTCTTCGTGTTGCCCCCTAAAACTAAAGCCAAGGGGTTAAAGGGATCACTAGACCTCCCTGGGATAACCAGTACATGGTAGGTGAGACCCAGATGCAGAATCCACTAAACTGCTACGAGTGTAATGGGTCAAAAAGGTGTCCCTTGACAGGGTGACCAGGAGTAAAGTTAAGTTCATTCTTCTCGATTTCAATAACAGTACAGAGTTCAGATCCCTTTAAATTAGATTAAAGATGATCTCTGAGATACCTTCAGAGGACATTACAAAGCTTCCCAATAGTCCCCAAAATCTAATGCTGATCTAATTTATTTTTATCCAATATACTTTGTGGCTAAAGTCATAAAAACACTGTGCCTGTAATGTCATAGGTAGCTGCATTTAATTTACAGATCCCTGGGCAGGCACAAGGTGAGGATGGACATCCTTTCCCCCAATCTGTATTTGGCCAACAGAAAATTACACATCCCTGCATACACTTGGATGTTAATTTCTGCTTAGGTGTTACTTTGGTGGGCATGTGGGCAATGTCATGGTGCGCCAGATGACAAGGGGGCAGAGATGGGATGTTATATGAAAAACATAGGCAGGAAGATGCCTATCACTTTGCTAAAAAGAGAGCCGCTAGTATAGACCAATCCCTGGACAGGATTCTACAGCATGTAAAGGAGGACTTTAGAAGATTAAAAGTGAATGCTTCTGATGGGAGGTAAATGCGCCTAATGTTATTACAGATGTATGTCCCTGAATGCAGACTATCTGCATCCACAGTCGTACATCTGTACCTGTAAGCATGTATAGTATATGCTCAGATCTGCACACAGCATGTATACAACCCCATCCAGCTGTAATGGTAGAATTTAGGTAAGTGGTCAAGGACAGTAGACAGTAGAACCACAGCTTAACCACCTGTTTGTACCAATCCTTGACAGCCCTTGTGAAAGAGCCCAAAGAGGTACACAGAACACATCATGCTCAGCTAAAGGCTAAGTTTAGTTTGTGAAAAGTAATTAGAAATTGTAGAAATGGATTGTATTAATGCACTTGACATAATTAAAAAAATGAACAGAAATAAGTCCTAAAAAAAAAACAAAAAGTAAAACTCATAATATGCTATCACAGAAAGGTTACCCAGTACAAACATACTGTACACATTAGTAACATTAATGTGCTCTCTATACACTTCACAAATGAATGAGGAAATAGAGGAGATATACAGAGTTCTTAATGCTAAATTGGAATCTAAATCTTTAATCTTAACATGATGCACTACACACTAAACAAACTTTCTAACCCCTGGAGTTTCTTCTACTTGCAATCTAGTTATAGCACTGCTGGGAGGTCTAGTGATTTGCATGTTACAGATACAACAGAGAGTGAGAGGAAATCTTATCTAAGTGAAGGGAATTCTAATTTTTAATTGGAAGATTTACCTTCAGCTCAGGTGACAAATGTTGCATTTCCCATCACTTCCTGCCTTAGTGACAGTGGTTACGAGGAAAATTAGAGATGGTGAATC